AAGAAGCTTTGGGCCTCTTCATCCCCCCTTATATTAATCGAACAAATTCATGTCCAGGAGGCTCTCAAGAAGGCTGAAAGAGGCTTTGGGCCTCTTCATCCCCCCTTATATTAGTCGAACAAATTCGTTTCCAGGAGGCTCTCAAGAAGATTGAAAGAGGCTTTGGGCCTCTTCATCCCCCCTTATGTTAGTCGAACAAATTCGTTTCCAGGAGGCTCTCAAGAAGGCTGAAAGAGGCTTTGGGCCTTTTTATCACACCTTATATTAGTCGAACAAATTCGTTTGCAGGAAGCTCTCAAGAGCTGTTGCTAGCATATGTGTGAAATCCCTAGCCCTTGTTTTCACGCGGTATTTACAGGTGTTTTGCTCGACCACAGGGCACTTCCGCCAGATTTTGCCAGCAGATGTGTGAAATCCCTAGCCCTTGTTTCACACGGTGTTTACAGGTGTTTTGCTCGACCACACGTCACTTCCGCCAGGTTGTGCCAGCGGATGTGTGAAATCCCAAACCCTTGTTTTTACACGGTATTTACAGGTGTTTTGCTCGACCACAGGTCACTTCCGCCAGATTTTGCCAGCGGATGTGTCCTCTTCATCCCCCTTATATTAGTCGAAGAAATTAATTTCCAGGAAGCTCTCAAGACGCTGAAAGAAGCTTTGGGCCTCTTCATCCCCCCTTATATTAGTCGAACAAATTCGTTTCCAGTAGGCTTTCAAGAAGGCTGAAAGAGGCTTTGGGCTTCTTCATCCCCCCTTATATTAGTCGAACAAATTCGTTTCCAGGAGGCTTTCAAGAAGGCTGAAAGAGGCTTTGGGCCTCTTCATCCCCCCTTACATTAATCGCCTGAACAGGTTTGAGCTCTGGGCACCTTCGTAGAGGTAGAAGAAGCTCCTCCTGAACAGGTCTCAGCTCTGGACCAATTCATATAGGTAGAACAAATTCCTCCTGAGCAGGTCTGAGCTCTGGAGCCCTTCATATAGGTAGAACAAACTCCTCCTGAGCAGGTCTGAGCTCTGGACCCCTTCATATAGGTAGAACAAAATCCTCCTGAGCAGGTCTGAGCTCTGGAACCGCAGGTCTGAGCTCTGGACACTTTACCCTAACCCCTAAACCCTAACCCCTAATCCCTAAACCCTAACCCCTAAACCCTAACCCCTAAACCATAGCCCCTAACCCTTAAACCTTAACCCTTAAACCCTAACCCCTAAACCCTAAACCCTAACAAACCCTAAACCCTAAACCGGAGGGTTTAGGTCGCGATGATTGAAAGTCATCACTGCCACTGCAAGGGCTTCCTCTGAACTCAACTGAGTCTCCCCTGCACAAAGCTTCGTCTTAACTTCCTTTAAACCCTGAACGGCTTGTTCGCAAATCCCCAGTTTCCAATGGGCCTCTCCAGGAATGATGTCCAAGTAGATGTTATGACGATCGCAAAAACCCTCAATGTACTGACTTCTAAATGATCCAGCTGGATCCAAACGAAGCACCTGGGGTTTCCCAAAGTACTGCATCCAGTCCTCTTGAAGATAATTCAAACAGGTCATGGCGTTGGGTTGTTGTTTCAATCCTGTGGTAAGGATCCTAGCAGCACGAAATCGGCTACACTCATCCACAATCAACATGAACTGAATCTTCTCATGGGTTTGAGGATGGGTCCAGTGTCCTACATCAGCAGAAATGGTGCTCCAAAGGGGAGGCAGGGGTTCTAACGTAGCCAGGTGACGGTTTCCTACTCGTCGCTTCTCCTCGCAAATAGAACACCTGAATTCCTTGGCCAACGTCAAGACCCTTTCCGAAGCTCCCCGTCGCGTCAAAGCCTCAACCAGATGTCGTGTGCTCTCATGTCCCGTAGCTGAGTGCAGAAGATACAGTTGCTTCTTGATTCTGTCGTCATGTTGTTTGGCTTGGCTAGAGAACGTTCTTTTCCACAGACCTGGCCTCTGAAGTACCAAGCCCTGTTCCACCACAGACGGTGGATATTTAGGACAACCAAACCCAAGCTTCCGAAGTTCAACCCGCGCTTCCTCATCAACCACCTTACATCCCCAGCTCACATACACAGACACCGTGTATCTATTCCCTGTCCAGTCGCACGTCCCATGCCACGCCTTCGGTGAAAAACCGACGCACTGCCCTGGTGTGGGAAGCTTGCGGCCCTGCAACTTCTGGCCGTCGATTGCTTCCTGAGGGCAGGCGTCCCGCCCCTCGTATCCCGGGGGTGCTTCCACCCACAACTCTCCTCCCTGGTAGCTTCCTACTCCTAGGATATAGTTGTCGTAGTCATGATCGTTGTGGTTATCTCGGTGGATGGGCATCTTGTTGTTGGCACTCAGAACAAACGATGACCACTTGGCTTGTTCGGGAAGGTTATGTTTGAGCCACTGGTTCATGTAACGAGTCACATGGGGAAGGTCCCAGGTCTTTCGGGTCACACCGTACATGTTGCCGTACGAGTAGAGTCCAAAGGCATGATATGAGGCCTGGTTTCCCGGAACAATGTTTCTGTTTCTACCGGCTCTCAACTGCGACATGGCTTCCAACAGGGGTTGGGCGTCTTGTTGCTGAAACTTCTTTTCTTTGTACAGGCTCATGGCTAACTCTTCCACATGTTGTTTGTCCGCCTGCACATACATGCTGTTCTCCATGTCTCTGGGGTCCTTGTTGCTCATGGTTTCACTAGCCGTGGGGTCTTCTACCTTCTGGGGCCTCGGGTCCTCACAATCACCTGCTACTGGAACTCCTAGTTCTTCGCGCCCTAGAATGCAGTTGTTACAGGTCAAATGAAAATCTCTGATCTTACTTTCCCCGCAAGTGCAAACCTCACCGCCTCCGAATCCTTCAGGTAAGCTACTCTCGCCTTCACATTCCCGCAACACTGAACTGTAGCTAAACTCCTGACACAGAATTTCAGCGGCTCTCTTGGCGTACGTCTCCGTGTGCTCCACAGCACCGTCGCTGCGAATTCCATCACAGCGTCCATGCTGATACTTCTTGTTACAGCGACAAGGAAGATCCAGTTGTTCCACAAGCCTCTTATGACTCGACATAATCTTCCATCCCCACTGCAACAACTTTTCCGCCTTGAAATCCCGAAGCTGAACCTGGCAACCTTTCTGAACAGCCGCACCTAACTGGTATCGCCTTTGAAGACCCTGGAACAACGGGAGTCGCCAAGCATCTGAACGTTCGGGAAGCCCAAGGGTACAGTGCACCCCGAGTTGAACACACAAATGAAACACACAGCAAGCTCCTACGTACACCTTCATAGTCTCTCTGCGTTGCTCACTAAGCTGTTGCTTCTGGGCTTCAGTACGTTGGTTGATAGTTTGCATTGGAGAAAACGCCCGTCCTGGCAGGTTCACCCAAACGTTCTGCGGCCTCTCCATCCGAATCCTATCCATCACAAACCGAAGCCCTTCCGAAGTACTCAAGTCCCCCGAATTCCAAAGAGCACATCGAGTGGCCGCATGGGGTGTCCCGGCGATCGCCTGGACCGCTTTGGTAAGTGGGCTGTTAGGCCGACAGCCCGCCTGCATCAGGACCGGACGGTCCCCTCCGAGCCCATCGTCTCTTAATAGCCCTTGCATCAGCCCTGGAACTACGCTCTGGGCACAACCCTCTAAGCGTCGCGCTTCCTCTTGGCTAAGATCCAGACTATTAGAGTTGGTAGCCGGTGGGCTCGGGGAGGTACTCATACTGTAGCTCAATCGGTGCCCAAACTCACCTTCTCTCACTTCTCCCTCTTCCGGGGGCGCTCCACGCTGGGTGTCTTTTGCTCTTTGAGCTCGCGTAGCTCCTCCTGCATGCCCTTCATCGTCTCCATCATCGTTGCCATGAGCTCCATCTGTCGCGCTGCTGGATACGGAGTTCCCGTACTCGAGGTTGCCGGGGTTCCTTGTGGGATCTCCGGTTCCGGTTCCATCAAGTAGCCGCCCTTGATCTTCAACTTCATCTTGTTGGTGTCCTTGGTTGGTAGCGGCCTCGTCACGGGATTGCTCACGTCCGAGGCTCTCAACAGCCACGTGCCCAGGCGCTTCAGCCGGGGATTGGTCTCTGCCGTCTCTCGGTGCGTGGTGGCAACCCACTCCGCATACTGCGGAAACTGTTGCACTAGCTCCGCATAAGTCAGACTGGCATGGCGACCAAAGCCGACCACATCCCGGGAGCAGCTTTCCACGGACTCGTACAGGTGGTTCAGCGCCTTTGTCTCGAGCTGTGCCATGGTTTCGTTCTCGGAGACATTCAGGCGGAGGACCGTGGCCACGTAGGCCTGCAGCGCCGCCTTCCGGTGTTTGTTCTTGTTCAGTTGCTTGATCTGCTGCTGCAAGGGGGTGTCCTTGCCGCGTCCTCCGGTGTGCGCCCACTCCTCGTCCTGCTCCTCCATCAGCTCTCGGAGTCGATGGCGAAGCTCGGAATTGTTCCAACTCTCCGCCGGGATCTCTCCGAACGAGTGGATGGCATCCCTGAGTTGCGGCTTGGTCATCTTGTCTATGGCTGGCATCACGAGGTCCTAGGCCGGAAGGATCTCCACTAGGTTCGCTTGGGGCTCGATGCTGCTGCTCAAGCCGCACACATTCACAGGCCGCTGCTTCACACTGCGAACCTAACAATATCTGCTCAGCTTCGCAATCCTGCTCAGACTCCTGTGCATCCACTGGCTCACTAGAAAAACTAAATCTAGCCCTACGTTCCCCACCAAACACACCCTTACCTCGTCGTTCTAGAGGAGGCTCTACGGGCACTTTGGCATCTCTACCCTGTCCGGAAAAAACTCGGTCCCCTTGTTTCCCATCCGGTTTGGTCCACAAGGGGTCATCTCCCTACTCGGCGGCATCTAGATACGCGCTCAGGGATGGAACGGCCTGTGTGGCCGGCATCGCATCCTGGAAAAGGTCCTCAGTCAAATTGACTAGTTGATGCCCGGTAGTAGATCTCTGGAGGCGAATGACCTTGGTGGGGTCGAGCTTGCGCAGGACGAGCAAGTCCTTCTCAAAATCTATTACTGCGCCCAATGACCGTAGCGCGTCGCCACTGAGACGAGTATGGGGCCTGTGCCCTTGTCAAGAGCATGCACCCGTAGGTTTCCGGCTTGCTGTCCCGCGCGAAGTCCCAGGTCTATGGTGGAAACACACTTGGCCTCCCCGGAGTCCGCAAACCCAAAGACTGGGCGGTTCTTCACATCGACATTCTGGACTCCGGTAGTTCCACGCTTCCCGGAATTCACCTTCATCACCGCCTCGATTGCTGACACAGAGCCAAGCGTTCGCGTAGCTCCGCCATCAATCACTCCACATCCAGCTTGTACCGCCTCAGCTGTCGTCATGCCTCGGCCTCCCGCTGGTTCTCTCAAGAGTGCCTGCTCTGCGTAGCACACGAAGGGTGCTGATTGATCCTCAGCCTCATGGGCGGCTGCCTTGGAGGGTCCCGGGCAGTCTGCTGCTCTGTGGCCCACCAAACCGCACTTAAGGCACGTCATCCTGGAATCGTCCCGTGGCCGAGCTGTTCCTTGAGGTCTGCTGCCGCTGGATTGGTAGTACTTGCGCGACATGCGAACCTGATGCTGCTTGCTTCGTGCTTCCTTGAGCGTCCTGCTTGCATTCTGCAGGACAGCCCAAGCTTGTCGGGCTTCATCTTCAGCCTCGGCGACGAGGGCCGTGCCCTCATCATTCAGCTCGTCATCGTACCAAGCGTCCTGGGGCTCGTCCACCTCGTCATCTACGTCCGCCTCACCCAGGAAGCTGCTGCCCTTGTAGTGCTGGTCACGCTTCTTCAAGTCTCCCTCAGTCCATTGGTTGCGCAGCTCCTGCGCAACACGGATCACGGTGAACTCGCCTTTCAGGGCGGTGTACACCATGTTCCGTTCATTGGTACTGAGATTTGCATCTTGTAAAAGATACCAACCCTGCACCCACTCAGGCAGGAGCTCGGTTCCCTTGGCACTTGCCACGTTCCAACCATTCGGCGAGGAACCTTGGTCCATGGTGGCCCGACTGTCGGGCCATCCCCACGACGATGAAGAAGACCACCAACCGGGAGCTCCATAGCTAGACCAGTAGCCTGAGCCACCGCTCCAACCACCATAGTAGTTCCCGGACTTCCAACTCCAGGGAGCTTTCGCCTCCGTAGTATTGTCCTGGTCCTCATCATCTCCCTCCGCCGTTGTGGTGGCCGTCATTTCCGAGGTCCAGCTACTGCGACGTCGCCCAGAGCTTCCCCACTCTCGGTTCATCCCAGTAGTTGGCTTCTCCTGATGCGGCCGGATGCGGTTGAGTGCTTGTGGTACTCGCATGTAGATCTCACTCTTCCGCGTCACATAGTCGTTGATTGACTCAGCATTCCGACGACGTGAATGTCGGAAATACTGGTTGAGGTACTCGGTCAGCTGGTTCGTCTATCCTGTCCTTTGTCGCCTCGGACCCGCGACTCGATGGCGGCTTGCCTCGCCCGCTTATGCTCCGTCACGGGCTCCTTGGCGGATAGCTCGCGGAACCTGTTCCTGGCCTCCGAGTCGGGTCCACCTTCATCGTTTCCTTCCAGCCAAATGGCTTGCGACAGCGCGAACATCTGCTTGGTGCGGTCGGCGTGCGTCTGCACCTCCTTGCCGGCGTCGCCAGATCCCCCTCGAACGTGCGTTTCCATGGCCAGCGTGAGGTCGTCCTGCGGGCACCGACTCAAGCCTAGAATTTAAAACCAAGCTCAAGGGCAATGGTCGTTGCAAAAGTGCTTCACTACCTGGGCTTGCAAGGTCCTGGTCGAAGGAGCAGGGCACGTCCTCCAAGTCTTCGTTGTCGCTGTTGGCCTCCAGCTCCGTGCCGGGTCGGAGCTCCCGCGGCAGGCAATGGACGAAGCAGAACTGGGCGGCATAGCGCTTCACAGACTCTGTGGGGAAGCCGCGTCGGCCCAGCCAGAGCCGCGCAGCCTGGAGCCAGTCCGTCGCCCCTTGGTCGCGAGCAGACAGGTCTCCGACGAAGGCCACGAGGTCGTCCTCCGAGGCGTCTCGGCGATCATTCACCCAAGGACGAAAGAGCAGAAGGAGCTTCATGGCCTGGTCGTCCGCGGTTTGGTTGCCGCCCTGCGCGCCGAAGAGCACCGGCACGCACGGCCGCTTGCGCGGCAGCATGACCCAGTCGTGCTTGAAAGGCTGGGCGAGGTGCCCGCAGGACGACCTCACGCTGGCCATGGAAACGCACGTTCGAGGGGGATCTGGCGACGCCGGCAAGGAGGTGCAGACGCACGCCGACCGCACCAAGCAGATGTTCGCGCTGTCGCAAGCCATTTGGCTGGAAGGAAACGATGAAGGTGGACCCGACTCGGAGGCCAGGAACAGGTTCCGCGAGCTATCCGCCAAGGAGCCCGTGACGGAGCATAAGCGGGCGAGGCAAGCCGCCATCGAGTCGCGGGTCCGAGGCGACAAAGGACAGGATAGACGAACCACGCGCAGGGACGAGCGAAGCCCCGAGGTGCAGGCTCAGGAGCATTATGCACGCAGCCAAAATAGGCGAGCTCGCCTCTATGCTGGTGCTGGACCTGACGTTTTGCGTGCCATTCACATTGGTCGTCGCCTGTCTCCGTCGCCGTGCCGTGCGGCGATGCCGCGCCGGGCGTGCTGCTGCACCGCTTGCGTCCCCGCATCCGTGCGCTGAAACTCTCGCAGTGGCCCTTTCGGCCTGGAGTTGCTCTGAATGAACACTCGGTCACCCGGATGTTGCTGCAACCCGCGCCTCTGCTACTCGGAAAGCCTGCTGTAGTACGGCCTCGTCCTCGGCTGTCCACGATGGCTTCTTCGGTGGTGTCGCTGCGGAAGCCTGCTGACAACTGGCACCTAGTGTCTCCAGCCTCTTGAAAGCTTTCGGTGTTGCCTTCTTGCGGCGGCGGGTCGGCTGCTGTCTGCTTGACCCCTTGGCCGGACTCCGTCTCCGGGATGTCACGGGCCATCGTTTCCAAGCCTTGCACGTGGGTGTCTGCGCGCGCGTCCTGTGCGTGCACGGCGGGTCTGTGCAAAGCCTCGCGGCCCTTGCAAGCTTGGTGCCGCGCCTCGTCGATTCTGATGACTCCGGCCTCGGTGGAATGGGGGTGCAGGTGATGGACGTGTACTTGCTGGCAGGGCTTGGGGCAGGGACGGGCGTCAAAAGAGTTAAGCTGCACATCGTCGCGAGATACTCCCGCATGAAACATTCCCACCCAGTTTCCTTGTTCAGCGAGATGCGGGCATCTGTCTCTATTCCACACTTTCTCACACTCTCTCTCTCTCTCTCTCTCTTTCTCTCCCACTCTCCTTCTCCCACTTTGTTGGAAAGAATGTGCATTTCTGAAAGTTTTGGTCGTTGGCTTCCGTCCCGCCTGGTCGTCGTCGTCGTCGCTCATGTCGGCCCATCGACGGTTGCTCCTGGGCGGTGTCGCCATGCCACCTGGAAGGGCTTTCTTAATTCTTTCTTCAGCTGTATGTTGGGAAACGTCAGACTGCCTGTGTCGTCGCTTTGTGTGAACTTGCTTTTGAGCTCGAGCACGAAAGTTGCTGCAGACTCTGCTGGTCGTGATTCACACCGGACCACAGAAGGTAAGCCTGCAGCTTCAGACGGAAATCTTGTTCTCCTGCGCACTGTGTTCCCTATAATTAGGCTTAATTAAAGCTACAAACAGCAATCACGAGAAAGGCGTGCGGAATGGATTTTTTCTTCTAGCTCGCTGCGTGTCCACTGCTTCGCGCCGCCTCTGCAGGGGCACTTTACGAATGCTCACTTTTGCGGAGACCCTTCATGAACGAACCACAAACTCCTCCCGAGCAGGTCTGAGTTCGGGACCCCTTCATAGAGGTAGAACAAATTCCTCCTGAGCAGGTCTGAGCTCTGGGACCCTTCATATAGGTAGAACAAACTCCTCCTGAGCAGGTTTGAGCTCTGGACCCTCCATAGAGGTAGAACAAATTCCTCCTGAGCAGGTCTGAGCTCTGGAGCCCTTCATATGGGTAGAACAAACTCCTCCTGAGCAGGTCTGAGCTCTGGACCCCTTCATATAGGTAGAACAAACTCCTCCTGAGCAGGTCTGAGCTCTTGACCCTTTCATATAAGTAGAACAAACTCCTCCTGAGCAGGGCTGAGGTCTGAACCCCTTCATATAGGTAGAACAAATTCCTCCTGAGCAGGTCTGAGCTCTGGACCCCTTGATATAGGTAGAACAAACTCCTGCTGAGCAGGTCTGAGCTCTGAACCCCTTCATATAGGTAGAACAAATTCCTCCTGAGCAGGTCTGAGCTCTGGACCTTTCATATAGGTAGAACAGGCGTCTTCATCCCCCCTCATATTAGTCGAACAATTTCGCTTCCAGGAGGCTTTCAAGAAGGCTGAAGGAGGCTTTGAGCCTCTTCATCCCCCCTTATATTAGTCGAACAAATTCGTTTCCAGGAAGCTTTCAAGAAGGCTGAAAGAGGCTTTGAGCCTCTTCATCCCCCCTTATATTAGTCGAACAAAGTCGTTTCCAGGAGGCTTTCAAGAAGGCTGAAAAAGGCTTTGAGCCTCTTCATCCCTCCTTATATTAGTCGAACAAATTCGTTTCCAGGAGGCTTTCAAGAAGGCTGAAAAAGGCTTTGAGCCTCTTCGTCCCCCCCTATATTAGTCGAACAAATTCGTTTGCAGGAGGCTTTCAAGAAGGCTGAAAGAGGCTTTGAGTCTCTTCATCCCCCCTTATATTAGTCGAACACATTCGTTTCCAGGAGGCTTTCAAGAAGGCTGCAAGAGGCTTTGAGCCTCTTCATCCCCCCTTATATTAGTCGAACACATTCGTTTCCGGGAGGCTTTCAAGAAGGCTGAAAGAGGCTTTGAGCCTCTTCATCCCCCCTTATATTAGTCGAACAAATTCGTTTCCAGGAGGCTTTCGAGAAGGCTGAAAGAGGCTTTGAGCCTCTGCATCCCCCCTTATATTAGTCGAACACATTCGTTTCCAGGAGGCTTTCAAGAAGACTGAAGGAGGCTTTGGGCCTCTGCATCCCCCCTTATATTAGTCGACCAAATTCGTTTCCAGGAGGCTTTCAAGAAGGCTGAAAGAGGCTTTGAGCCTCTTCATCCCCCCTTATATTAGTCGAACAAACTCGTTTCCAGGAAACTTTCAAGAAGGCTGAAGGAAGCTTTGGGCCTCTTCATCCCCCCTTATATTAGTCGAACAAATTCGTTTCCAGGAGACTTTCAAGAAGGCTGAAAGAGGCTTTGAGCCTCTTCACCCCCCCTTATATTAGTCGAACAAATTCGTTTCCAGTAAGCTTTCAAGAAGGCTGAAAGAGGCTTTGAGCCTCTTCATTCCCCCTTATATTAGTCGAACAAATTCGTTTCCAGGAGGCTTTCAAGAAGGCTGAAAGAGACTTTGAGCCTCTCCATCCCCCCTTATATTAGTCGAACAAATTCGTTTTCAGTAAGCTTTCAAGAAAGCTGAAAAAGGCTTTGAGTCTCTTCATCCCCCCTTATATTAGTCGAACAAATTCGTTTCCAGGAGGCTGTCAAGAAGGCTGAAAGAGGCTTTGAGCCTCTTCATCCCCCCTTAAATTAGTCGAACAAATTCGTTTTCAGGAGGCTTTCAAGAAGGCTGAAAGAGGCTTTGAGCCTCTTCATCCCCCCTTATATTAGTCGAACAAATTCGTTTCCAGGAGGCTTTCAAGAAGGCTGAAAGAGGCTTTGAGCCTCTTCATCCCCCCTTATATTAGTCGAACAAATTCGTTTCCAGGAGGCTTTCAAGAAGGCTGAAAGAGGCTTTGAGCCTCTTCATCCCCCCTTATATTAGTCGAACAAATTCGTTTCCAGGAGGCTTTCAAGAAGGCTGAAAGAGGCTTTGAGCCTCTTCATCCCCCCTTATATAGTCGAACAAATTCGTTTCCAGGAGGCTTTCAAGAAGGCTGAAAGAGGCTTTGAGCCTCTTCATCCCCCCTTATATTAGTCGAACAAATTCGTTTCCAGGAGGCTTTCAAGAAGGCTGAAAGAGGCTTTGAGCCTCTTCATCCCCCCTTATATTAGTCGAACAAATTCGTTTCCAGGAGGCTTTCAAGAAGGCTGAAAAAGGCTTTGAGCCTCTTCATCCCTCCTTATATTAGTCGAACAAATTCGTTTCCAGGAGGCTTTCAAGAAGGCTGAAAGAGGCTTTGAGCCTCTTCATCCCTTATATTAGTCGAACAAATTCGTTTCCAGGAGGCTTTCAAGAAGGCTGAAAGAGGCTTTGGGCCTTTTCATCCCCCTTCATATTAGTCGAACAAATTCGCTTCCAGGAGGCTTTCAAGAAGGCTGAAAGAGGCTTTGGACCTTTTCACCCCCCTTACATTAGTCGAACAAATTCGTTTCCAGGAGGCTTTCAAGAAGACTGAAAGAGGCTTTGGGCCTTTTCATCCCCCCTTATATTAGTCGAACAAATTCGTTTCCAGGAAGCTTTCAAGCAGGCTGAAAGAGGCTTTGGGCCTCTTCATCCCCCCTTATATTAGTCGAACAAATTCGTTTCCAGGAAGCTTTCAAGAAGGCACGCAATAAGCGACACAGTTCTGCAACAGATTGATAGTCCTAACGTCCCAATAAGCGGAACAACTGTGCCAGAGATTGTCCTTCCTAACGCGCCAATAAGCGAAACAATTCTGCAGGAGATTTTCCTTCCTAACGCCCCAATAAGCG